GGTTGAAGGGGAATTGTTTTTGTTCAGCTCTGTTACCTTCGTGAATGGTCAAACAGTTCATCTAGTTACTGGAAGATTGATCTACACAATTTTGTTCCTGATCTACCAAGAATTGAGGCCTCCACTGCGCAATAGGGGCGGGAAAATTTTTTTTGTCAAACTGTTCTTAACACCTTTAAACTTCTTTACTCAACCGATTGTATTTCCGAAATTTTAACGCATAAATTATTAGCCACAGGTTCACCAGAAACCGCTACTCCACAACAGATAAGTGTCACAACAGCCGCGAGAGCTACAAATACAGGGTCTCCAGTTACGACGAAAGGTAATGTTTGTATCCTGTTGGCTTGCCTATCCTAAGTTACAGTACTTTTGCACCAGCAAACCTGTAGGTAAATTACACAAGAATTGGAGATCAAACTTCTTTTCTTTAATAGCTTTTTATCTCCTTAATAATATATGACCCATCGCTACAAACCTACCGACCCTTGTTCAGGACCAGTAGCCTGAGTTAAGATTGCAAGTGATTTCACATATTACAAGTTCAAACATTTCATCAGTTACCATCCAACACATAAGAACACTTTCATTCATATTAATTAACCTCCAAACGGACCTTCATACTCGTTTGGCCATCTACCCCTTTACATTATCTGCTTACCCAACTACTACAGTCAAATCAACAGAGTTGCTGGTTTTTTTAATTTCTGTTCTAGAGCCCAACGTTTCAGTGCCAAGAAAATCATCAGAAGAATCCTCCTTTAAATGGGTGGTGGCAAGCGGAATCATCTCATGTGTTGTGATAATACTCATTGTGGGCCTTTGCCACCATCAGAAAAAATGCACTAAAAATGGAGCAAATAATAATAGCTTCATTGAAAGCAACGAAAAGGAATTTTGCAAGTGTATTTTGTAAATATAACATACTCAAGGTAGTAGATTTACCAATTCGTAATATCCGGTCAGTCTTACAATATATAGTTAGTTGTGTTTTAGGGTGAAGTTAATCATTGATATACATTAATTCAAGGATTTAAACATTGCATAGAAATTTAAATCGACACTAAATGTATTTCTACTAAATGCGACCTTCCCTTTTTTTTGTTTGCGTCGTCATTTCGACTTATTAAATTACAATCTTAAAGAACAGCTCGAAGTTTTCTGTTTAAGGGTGGTTTCTATAAATTTGACCTTTCCTTGAAAGATTCTGTGACTCTAAAATGTCAAATATTGTCCTTTGCTTTTAATTTACTTATCAATTATAGCTGATTTTCGACGTAGCTGTAAATGATGTGGCAATGAATAAATAAACTGATTCCTTGAATCCTCATGAAGTAATGTAAACTTTTCGCTGTCATAGCAACAGCTGCGCTAACTTATGTAAGGAAAGATTTAAAACAAAGAAGACAAACAAAAGGACTTGCAGCCAATGATGCTTTTTCCGATCCCAGCAGGAGGGAAGGAGTCGTGAATAAGTTAACGTAACCGTAGGAACCACTTGGTCTTCGACTTCCAGGCCTGATGAGTTCGAGACGAATTTGATTAGGCTCAGATAAAGTATGCTTGATAAAGTGAGGACTAGAGCTGTTAAAATGTTTATTTTGACGGTCAAGTGTTGTTATGATGCTCAAAAATATATCGTCTGTAACGGTCGCAGACGAAAGGCCAAAAAGGGAATGAAAGCAATTTATAGTTCATTACGCTTGGCACTCCCTTTACCCAGGCTATACGGATGTATATAAAAAATAG